AAGCTGCTTTTTAATTATAGGAAGTAAAGCTTATTTTCCACAGAGAACGCCGCCACAAAGACTTATAAGCTCTCTTGTTTGAAAAAGAGAGAGAGAGCGGGAGAGGCAGATTGAGATGGAGAGAGTGAGAGAAAGAGACAGAGAGTGAGACACACACACACACACACACACACACAGGGGGGGGGACAAAGAGACACAGAGAGACAGAAAGAGAGAGAGTGAGAGAGAGACAAAGAGAGAGACAGAGACAGAGACAGAAAGAGAAAGACAGAAGGAGAGAAAGAGAGACACAGAGACAGAAAAAGAGAGAAAGAGGGATTAAGAGAGCGAGAGAGAAAGAGAGAGACCGAATGAGAGAGAGAGAGAGAGACAGAGACAGAGAGACAGAGACAGAAAGAGAGAGACAGAGAGAGAGAGACAGAAAGAGAGTGAGAGAGACAGAGAGACAGAAAGAGAGACACAGAAAGAGAGACACAGAGACAGAAAAAGAGAGAGAGAGTGAGAGAGTGAGAGAGACAAAGAGACAGAGAGACAGAGACAGAAAGACAGAGAGAGACAGAGACAGAAAGAGAAACAGAAAGAGAGAGAGTGAGAGAGAGACAGAGAGAGACACAAAGAGAGAGAGACAGAGAGAGACACAAAGAGAGACAGACAGACACACACACACACAGAGACAGAAAGAGAGACAGAGACAGAAAGAGAGACAGAAAGAGAGAGAGACAGAGAGAGAGAGAGACAGAAAGAGAGAGAGACAGAGACAGAAAGAGAGAGAGAGACAGAAAGAGAGAGAGAGAGAGAAAGTTGTAAGATCTGAAATTGGTGGGGGTGGGTTTCTTCCTGTTCAATAAGCCTTAAGCCCTAAGAGAACATGGGGCTGGGGGTTATCCTTGTCATTATACAGGTAGTCCTCAATTTTGGAACTGTTCGAAGTTACAACAGCACTGAAAAAAAAGTGATTTAGGATGGTTTTTCACCCTTACGACCGTTGCACCATCCCTGTGGCCACGTGATCAAAATTTTGGCACTTGGCAATTGGTTCATACCATAGTTATGAGAGTCGCAGTGTTCTGGAGTCATGCAATCCCCTTTTTCGGATGATGATGATGATGGATGGGATACAGAGGATAGAAAAACAGCTTTGAATCAGTAAGGATGGCTGAGCCGCACACTTGACCACAGCAGAAAGATCCTAGAATTGAGGAGAAATCTCCTGGCAGTGAGAACAGTAAATCCGTGGAATGGGTTGTCTTCAGAAATTGTGGGTCCTTAAGTAGAGATTGGACAGCCATTTGTCCAAAATGGTATAGGCCAGGTGTCCTGCTTGGGCAGGAGGTTGGACTAGAAGACCTCCAAGGTCCCTTCCAACTCTGTTGTTCTGTTACCCTGAAATGACTTCTTCTTTCCACCGTGAGGCCACCTGGAGGTTTATCTCTGTCCTGGGGGGAGGGGTGTCACCTGACTGGTGCAAATGGGTGTGGAGCTTCCTTGGAACTGTCCATCTATGTCAAGAGAGGCCATCTATGTCAAAACTGAACAGCCCTCTGTCAACAGAGGGGGAGGGATACAATGTCATCTATCTCCAGTCCTTCCAATTTTCCCAGAAGGCTCCATACCCATTTGCACCACTCAGGTGACCCTGAGGACAGAGATCAACCTCCAAGTGGCCTCAAGGACCCTCTAAAAGGATGCAAACGACCGGCTGCTTGCAAGGAATATAAATCCTTCCAATCCCCACCATCCAGTCAGAGCTGAAGAAGCTTCTTGGATGAGAAGAGAAACCTCTTCAAAGAAAAACAAGGAAGACTTCGAACCTCCATAGACATTTCACCACCTTTAAGGCAAGGTTGTACCAACGGTCAGATGTTTCTCCAGGCTCTGGATAGTCCTTTTTCAATAGATGCCACCCGAGCCAGAAACGCAGGCTGTTGGGATATTTTAGGGTTGGCTGGGCAGCCAACTTTTGCTACGTCAGCTTGTTGGGAAGCCAAAAAAAGGGGAAATACTGTGAGCGTGGATAAGCGGCAACTGCGGTGTGGGTTTGTGCTGCTGGTGGCCGATAAAACTCTGGTGGTTTTGAGACCAATGTCTCTCTGGAGATTCTCATTCATCCAGGTCCTGGTTGTCCCAAAAGCACATTCTCAAAAGGCAACTGCAGTCTTCAGCTCTGAAGAAGCTTCTGGGATGAGAAGCGAAATCGGTCTAGGGCTGTGATGGCGAACCGATGGCACGCGTGCCGGAAGTGGCACACAGAGCCATCTCTCCAGGCACGCCAGCTGCCGCCCGTTGCTCTTCCGGGTTTGCATGTGCAGCTGGTCTTCTCATGCATGGGAGTGCTGGAAACCAGAAGACCAGCGCCCTGGCATGCATGAGCTGAGCTTTCGGTTTCTGACACACACATGCGCGCCGGACACCTGGTTTTCACACATGCATGCATGCCAGAAACTGGAATACCAGGTGACCAGCATAGATGTGGATCAGTGGTGGGTTACTAGCCGGGTTACTACCAGTTCACTCGTGCTCATGCATGCGCAGAAGCATCCAGGCAGGTGGGCGGAGCCTCCCACCACCGACACTACCAGTTCGGCCGAACCAGGAGCAACCCACCTCTGATGCGGACGCCGGAAACTGGAAGCTCAGATTCCCGACATGCGCATGCGCACCAAGGAACTGCTCTTCTGGTTCACAGCGCTCCCATGGGTGCACCCTGAGGAGCTGCTCTTCCAGGTTTTGGTGCCCTACCCCCCCATGTGCTCCCGTTTCGACACTCGGTACCAAAAAGGTTCACCAGCATTGGTATTGGGTTTCCTGCTTGAGGAAGGGGTTAGACTAGGGGTGAAATTCAGCTAATGGAAATTGTGAATAGTTCAGAGAACTGGCAAATACCATCTCTAACTGGCCCCAGAGTGAGGTGGGAATGGGGATTTTACAGTATCCTTCCCCTGGAGAGGGGAGGGAATGAAGATTTTACAGTATCCTTCCCCTGGAGTGGGGAGGGAATGAGGATTTTGCAGTATCCTTCCTCTGGAGTGGGGAAGGAATTGAGATTTTGCAGTATCCTTCCCCTGGAGTGGTGAGAGAATGAAGATTTTGAGGTATCCTTCCCCTGGAATGGGGATGGAATGGGGATTTTGCAATATCCTTCCCCTGGAGTGGGGAGGGAATGAAGATTTTGCAGTATCCTTCCCCTGGAGTGGGGAGGGAATGAGGATTTTGCAGTATCCTTCCTCTGGAGTGGGGAAGGAATTGAGATTTTGCAGTATCCTTCCCCTGGAGTAGGGAGGGAATGAAGATTTTGCAGTATCCTTCCCCTGGAGTGGGGAGGGAATGAAGATTTTGCAGTATCCTTCCCCTGGAGTAGGGAGGGAATGAAGATTTTGCAGTATCGATCTCCTGGAGTGGAGAGGGAATGGGGATTTTGCAGTATCTTTCCCCTGGAGTAGGGAGGGAATGGGGATTTTGCAGTATCCTTCCCCTGGAGTGGGGAGGGAATGAAGATTTTGCAGTATCCTTCCCCTGGAGTAGGGAGGGAATGAAGATTTTGCAGTATCGATCTCCTGGAGTGGAGA